GAATATGAAAGTGATTTTGGCTTGAGTGGCTCTGGGGACATCACTGGGTGCAGCATTTACCCAGATTCAACAAAAGAATGGTGAAAAGAGAGGGCATCAAACAATAGGTAAAAGGTTTTGGATAGATGCTTCAGCTTCTGGTTGTTGTATTTATGGAGTATCTGTATCACTCCTTTTGATCTTCTCTGTACTGGTGGTCTCTTCACGAATTTTCTAATGAGCCTTATTCTACAATATGTTTATTTTAACAGGAAAGTATACCTTGTGCATACCTTAAGAAAGCATGTATGCTAACATTTATTTGACAAACAGTACAGATTTATGCCCTACAGCCTACATTTATGCACCTACTTCAAACATTCAGATGAGCAAGTTTCTGTTTACTCAATGTGTGTGAAAAGAATGTGTCATAAGTACTGGTGTGGATAGAGGAGCCTAGCTCATAAGAATTGTTCGTACTGAAAATGCTCTATAAAAGTATCCTGAAAGTTTTTCTATGTGTTCTGCTAAATTGGTAAAGGGAGGAGTACTGTATTGTTTAGCTAATCATCTATTTAGACAAATATACACATAATTACAGCAAATCATAGCTGGTAACCTTTGAAAACACTGAAAACCTCTGAACAGCACAGTTTACAAGCACCATTCTGAAAAGCAATTACACTTTGAAAATACAAGCTGAACAGAGATATAGTAAAAAACAAATTTGCCTTCAGTAGTTTCTGAAATGCAGTTTTGCATGAATATTGTGAAACCTAGCAATTGAATTTATTTACTGTTAAAATGGATTGAGTATCTTTTCAAGCTATTTTCACTTATACTGAAATGTAGTTTAATGCAATAGTTTCCTTCCATTCTAATTAATTTACCTCTAAGAATGAAATGAAAGCAGTTGAAGAATGAAACAATTATTATTTTTTATTTGTTATTTAGATTTATGTTGCTTGATACTTAACCAGTGTTGTGCATGTACTTCTCAAAACATGAGGGATAATTAGTCCAAAGATACATGACCTTTATTTGAAAATATATGCAAACTGCATCATCTGAATGTATATATGATGTGAATTGAAAGAGGAGAAAATAAAATCAATTACTCTATTTTACAGAAAAGAAAATTCCCCTAGAGATCTGAAAAATGAGACTGTTCATTATAGAAGGAAGCTTTTAAAAAATGTGTAACTTTATATGAAGTGTACCTTTAAAATCTATTACATGACTAGAAAAACAAAAAGTCATGTCAGAAAAACTTGAAAAGTTGTAGCACCTATTTATTTTTCAGGAAAATTTCCAAAGTATACAGGAAATAGAAATCTTGCTCAGAGTATTTTAGTTTATTGAGTTCTCTCTGCCTTGAAAATCATAGTAGAAGTCTCCAAGGACTCCTATAAAGATGTATTACATCATAAAGCAAACTAAGGATAGTAACCCATGTTATTAAACTGTCAACATACATTATACTGCAATCTGTCCACAATCCAACTCAAAGCCTCACTCTTGGCTTGGAAAGTTTAAAACATAAGACTACTCTCTAATCATCTAAAGCCCATGGTACTTTGGAAAAAATGTTGTAATAATCGCTCCACCACTCCATTACAGTATGTGTGAATTTCATTGGTTTAGTACTGCAAATGCTCAACTGTTACAGGGAAGGGTTCTGAAGGATTACCACTTAAAAGGTTTTATTAGTGATGCTGTAGATTTCTTATTTCACAGAGTGTTAATAAAGGTTTGGTATAACAGACAAAATGAAAAATAAATCTCAAAACCCAGTGCTTAAACCTTGCTTAATTTCCACATTAATATTTAATAATAAACCAGATAAAATTATGTGAATATAAAGTCTGCCTTCTCAACTAAAGAAAATGGGGCTATTGCTTTGAATGATGAAGTACTGAAGATCAGTGATATTTTTCAGGAATTATGGTAAGTGAAAATTTTGGATCTGGTAGTAATATATGTTGAGAAAAGAAAGTCCAGCTCTAAATATTAATCTACATCATGATTGTTAGTTTTCATTTTATCATTACCAAGGAATCTTGAGGTTGTTAGAGATATTCTTAACCCAGAGTCTATCGTAGGAGGTATGGCATAAAAAGGGTTATGGATACAGAATAAAAACATAATTTCATCAAGTAACTACTGAGGTGAGGTCAGTTATGAACTCTTTGTGAAGTCTTAGTGCCAAATCTTTTGTCCTCTTTAAGATAAAAGTGATTGGTACTTTCTATCTTTATTTCCTTCCCCCTCTTCCTCAGGTGTTTTAGGAGAAAAGACAGGGAAAAAGAAAGGAAATCAAGAGATGCTGGAAGACTGGCTGGGAGGAGTTGGAATGGATGGGGATTTTAAGGGGCATCCACTTGGATGAATAGATCTTGAGTTGAAGGCCATAGATGTGAAGAGAGCAAAACAGCTATGTTATAGTCTTTAATAATGACTATTTTTATCTCTTCATAACAAACAAATTGTGAAACCTCTTGCTGTAAAATGCCAAAAAAATGCAATTATGTTATCAAGAAGAAAGAATTCAACCCTGTTGAAATAATTCCTCAGAAGTATTTTATTTAGTTTAAATATGTGTTTCTAAGTTGAAACATCAATATCTAAAGTAATTTAGCCTCTAGGTTGTTAGAGATTAGAAGTGGTCAGAAACACAAGGCAGAAATGTGGGAAATGACAGGAACTTTATCTCCAATCCACCCATAACCCACACATAATTAAACACTTCTTCTAGAAATTTAATAATTAAATAAATAACAGACTAGATATGAATTATTACCAACATTATGTCAGTAATAGTGTACTAAAAATAGAGTATTTGTAAAACTTTTTTCTAAATCTCAAGTTTCCCTTCATTGAACTGTCAAGAGATATACTTAACTGTCTCACTCACAGTTGCAAAGTATCATTCAAACTACATGTGACGCTGCTCCTCAGGCGCACTGGAGGTTTGGGCTAGCTCTGCAACGCCACTCCGGCACGGACAGTGGCCAGGAGTGGGGAACCGCAGGGGAAATGTGATCCCACTGCGGAACCTACAGAGCTCCAACCCCTGCTGGGCTCTGCTAACTCAGGCGTCGTGGGTTGTGACAAAAGGATGGAGGAGGCTCAGTCTGCTGCACTTCCCAGGAACAAGTTTATTACGGCGAAGGGAACGGAGGCAAGGGCTCGGGCTGGGACGACAGAGCAGGGGAAAAAGCCCCGAACCCCTCTGTGGTTTTATTCAGGGGTGGCCACAATTCAGGGTCCAATCAGGGATTGCAGAGGGAGGAGTAAGGGGAGGAGATTACAATATTGGGGACCAATGGGGATACAACGAGGGTGGGGTAACAACATAGTAACCAATAACTTATCGAAAAAGGGATGAAATACACAGAAGGAGCTGGAAGGAAAGGTGGGGTTTACAATGATGGATAGGGGAGTTGGGGCAGGGTTAAGACAACTGACAGGGAACTTTCAGGAAAAAGGGGAGGGGTTAACAATATTGACAGCTGGGGCTAAACCATTTCATAATAACAGGGGAGCAACACTAATACTTAACAAAATTAAATAAATGAACTGCAACATCTCCCCCTTTCTTTTTCAGAAAGAGGAGGATGCAGGGTCAGGGAGCAGAGGGCATAGTCTCTTTTAAAAACCACCCTTCACAGGTGGGCAAGGGAGGAGGCGAGGAGGAGGAAAGAGGATCTAAATTAATATTGTTGACTTGTGGTGGGGGAGACAAAAGATGCAAAACTGATTGAACTAAACATCTTCTTAATATAGCAAACATAATTAATATCATAAAAATAACAAAAACAACCCATAAGATTGACTTTGTAACTGAAGAGAGCCATCCTGATATTCCCCATCCGGAGAAAATGCATTAGGCCAAGGATGGTCAGGGCCTTCATTTTCAGGATGGCTTCTTCTAAAATAAAAGGAAACATATATCAGTGTAAACATACCTAGAAAAACTAGGTCAAGACAAAAGAGGGGACTTGGGGTTTCCTCCTCCTCCTAATGGGTCTTTTATGGCAGTCTCTCAGGACGCGACACCTACTTTGTTTCTTCTGGTGGCCTGTTGGGGTGTTCTGGGACGTAAGCTTTCACCCACCGTTGTGGGATCCACCTTAGCCCCTGGGGTGAGGAAACACAAGTGTAACGCCACCCCCAAGTCACCAATCCAAAGGGCCACAATATCTTCTGGGACTCTGGGTCCCGCACCAGCACTGGAGGACGTTCTTTCAACTCGTAGCTGCTGGTGGACTGAAAATGATGGGCCACTGGAGGGTTCATGTTGTCACCGGAGCAATTTAAAAGTTTATAGTGAACAAGGCTTTGCACAGCTGATCTTGAGGCGTGCAGCCTTTCATACTTTCCTTTTGATGGATCAGGACTACTTTGAGCGATTGATGGGCTCGCTCCACGATGGCTTGGCCTGTGGGGGAATGGGGGATGCCTCTTTTATGTTCCACTCCCCACTCCTGCAGGAAGTCCTCCAGTTTCCTGGAGACGTATGCTGGACCATTGTCTGTTTTAATTTCTCTGGGAACCCCCAGCACAGAGAAAGCCTGCATGAGATGTTTGCAAACATGCTCAGCTTTGTCTCCTGTGTGGGCAGAGGCATAGACTGCACTAGAAAAGGTGTCAATAGATAGGTGCACATACTCGAACTTACCGAACTCTCGGATGTGGGTGACATCCATCTGCCACACTTCACAACTCCCCAGACCTCGAGGGTTAACCCCCGAACCCAGGGATGGCATTGCCGATGACTGGCATTGTGGGCATGTGGCCACAATGGCTCTGGCTTGATCTCGCCTTAGATGGAATTGGCAGACCAATCCAGGCACATTTTGGTGGAACATTTGATGACTCAGTCTAGCTTGTTGGAACACATCAGGAAGCTGAGCCATTCTAACAGGGGCAGCGAGGGAATCTGCTCTTTCATTGCCCTCAGCTACCGGGCCAGGGAACTCCGTGTGTGACCGTACGTGCATAACAAAGAAGGGCTGCTTTCAGTGAGAAACAGCATAGATCAATTTCGAAAGCAGCTCAAAAAGCTGAGGATTTGAGACTTCTTTTAACGCCGCATTTTCTGCCCTTGCTACTACCCCTGCGACGTAGGCCGAATCAGTTACCAAATTAAATGGTTCAGGGAACCTCTCAAAGGCTCTGACAACGGCATCCAACTGAGCAACTTGTGGAGATCCCTCCACATATTTAACATCCATTTCCCACTGCTGAGTCTGAGGATCCATCCAAGTCATTGCCGACTTGTGGGAAGCTCCAGATGCGTCGGTGAAAACTGTCACAGCCTTGAGGGGTTTTCTACTCCTGATTTCCTTTGGAATCACATTAAACTTTGAGTTAAAGAATTTGTGAGCAGGGGTGTGGACCAAAACCTGTCCACTGTAGCTATCTAACGCAATTTGGAGAGTCTCATTCTCCTGCAGCAGCTGATTAAACATTTCTTTGGTCAGTTTATCTGGGGATGCTCTGTCCCGAGACAGACTGACCAATACCTGTATGCATGTAAAATCACACCCGGACATCTCCCGAAGCCTTGCCCTAGCTTTCCTGATGAGCTGCGCCATCAACTCCTGCGGCCTAGTAATGCTCTTGGACCTTTGATGACTTAGGAAAACCCACTCTATGATCAAGAGTGGGTCCCTTGAGTCCTGGTCCCACTGATAAATGAGCCCAAACAGGTGTGGCAGATTTCCCAGAACAATAAACTCAAATGGCAGGTTCGACTCATACCTATTCACCTGCCTCTCCACTAGTGCATCCTGCACCTTTTCCAGGGCTCTCCGTGCCTCTGGGGTCAGAGACCTGGGAGAACTCAGCTCCTTCTCCCCCATCAATAATATGAAGAGGGGGACTTGGTCCTCAGTAGTGAGGCCCAGCCAAGGCCTGACCCAGTTCAAAGTCCCACACAGGGAGTGGAGGTCTGCCAGATTTTTTGGATTGCTGTTGATAGCCAGTTTTTGAGGAACAATGGTCCTCTCAGCGATCTGCAGGCCCAGATACTTCCAGGGTGGCATCCTTTGAACTTTCTCTTCCTGGAGCTGAAATCCTGCAGAGGTTAGAACTTCAACCACCAGGTCAAGCACATGCTCTAGTAGATTGTCATGGGGGGCACATACCAGGACATCATCCATGTAATGGGGGATGATGACCTCCCCCACTTTGGCGAGGATGGGAGACAGTAATGAGGAGACATACCACTGGCAAATGGTGGGTGAGTTCTTCATGCCCTGAGGCAACACTCGCCAGTGGAATCTCCTCACTGGGGCTTCTCGGTTAAGGGTGGGCACCGAGAAGGCAAACCATGGGGCATTGTCAGGGTGTAGGGGAATTTGGAAAAAACAATCCTTTATATCAATAATAGCCAATTTCCAATTTCGTGGGAGTATGGTTGGGGTAGGCATCCCGGGTTGAAGAGGTCCCATGTCCACAATGACTTTGTTGATTTCACGAAGGTCGTGAAGGAGCTGCCACTTGTCCTTCCCCGGCTTACGGATTACAAAGACCGGGGAATTCCAAGGGCTGGTGGTTTCGATCTCTTTTGCTAATTGCTCCTCCACGAGTTCGTTGAGCGCCTTTAATTTTTCTTTTCTTAGCAGCCACTGATCAATCCAGACCACTGTATCAGTTGTCCAATCTAGTTTCTGGAAAGGGCGCTCCACAGTGGCCGCCTTTAAAAATCCCGAGGGGTTTTCGGGATCTCGATTTTCACCCCCCAGTGGGACATGAGATCCCTCCCCCACAGGGGAACCTGATAATCTGCAACAAATGGGGGTAGATTTGCCAATTGCCCATCTGGCCCCGCAATTTGTACCACGCTCTTGGAGACTCTTGCCAATTGTGTGCCCCCTATGCCCTGAATCTTGCCTGCCACGGGTTGCAACTCCCAATGTGACGGCCACCTCCTTTCGGGGATGATCGTCACATCCGCTCCCATGTCAAGCAGACCCCTCATATTTAATGATTCTGCACCCTACTTGATGCTGCAGTCGATGATTGGTTTGTTCTCATCCACCACTTCTGCCCAGCAGACGCCTGGTGCATGGTCATCTACTGGGATTTCTTCTGGAATAGAAATAAACTGGGCGATGATTTGGCCCTTTGCCAAAAAGAAGGGTGCCAAGAGAATGAGGCTCTCCGGACCACCCGGGAAGGTGATCGGAGAAATCTCAATCTCTGGGGGTGTGTGTTTAGTGTCCCTGATGGCAATGTACTTACATGATGGTCCTGAGTCCATTGAAGTCCTGTCCAGTGGGTCCACAGCAACTACCGTCCAGTGCTGGGACCGGAAGAAAATGTCTCTAATGGTAATTAGATGTCACTTCCAGTTGATTGGCCATGTTTTTGTATGTTGTGCCCCCTCCCCCCGCGAGATCTGTCCCATTTGTTTCCTCGCATGGGACAGGTTCGCGCTGCGCTCCTAGTTTTTTTTTATTTGATCTTTAACAGCCCTCCCTCCCAGGCTGTTCCCTGTGTTCCCCTGGCAAGGGCTGGAGGCTGGACACTCCCTTGCCAAATGTCCCAGCTGACCACAGCAGAAACACTGGAATTGCCGCATAGGTGGAGATTGAGTACACTGGCTCGCTGGGTGCTGGGTCACAGCCGCCATGGGTGTTCTTCTTGGCACAGGTGTTGGCATGATCCTTTGAGCTCCCACCATCGGGACTTTTTTTGTGCAGGCCTCCATGATGATCTCTAAGGTGGGGCGTGGATGGACAGGCAGGCTGAATATGACCTGGCAACAAGCTTCGTTGGCATTTGCTTTTGACGCTTCTAACAAGAATTGCTCTTGCAGCTCTGCTTTGTCTGGTTTTCCTCCTGCGCCTGTAGCCTGTCTACAAACTTAACAAAAGGTTAATTAGGGAGCTGTTTAATGGATAAAAAGTTTGTCTGTGGTTCTTCTTCAGGCATTGTATTAAAAGCCTTCTCGACGGCCTCCGCGATCTTAACAAGAACAGACCGAGGTAAACCTCTAGCCTGTTCTTCAGGCTTGGCCCAATTCCCTTTGCCGCACAGGTGATCTAATGTGAGGGGATTGTCATCTGCGTCAACCGCAGCATCTTCACTGTGCAACAACTCAGGAAGCATGGTCTCCAACGCCCTCTTCCACCCCTGTTTCCACAGCTTAAACTCAGTTGAGGAAAGGAGGCAGGAAAGCAATTCTTTTAGGTCGGAGGGGACCATTTCGTTTGTGGAGAAGGTAGCCTTCAGCAGCCCTTTAAAATACTCGCTCCTTCTCCCAAACTCTTTCTGAGCCTTGCACAGCTCCCTCTTAGTTTGGAAGGAGAAGGGCTCCCATTCATAGTACCTCCCCCCTCGCCACAAAAACTCACCGGTGCAACGACGGGAATATCACCCAGTTCTGAGTTCTGGCTTCCAGGCCTGTCACTTCCGGTTTTTAAAGCGTGGGAACCGGGAGGAGGGGCATGGGAACCAGAAGCCGGAAGGGGCGGGGCTGGAGGACTGACCACCAAGTAGGAGGGCTTAAGGGAGGAGCATCAGCAGGAAGAGGCGGGGTTTAGGGGTGTGGTGGTGGCATGACATGCCCTGGAGGAGGAGGAATTTCCTGAGGGGAAGTGGGAGGGGTCAGGGTAGGAGGAAGGGGAGGAGTTAGGGAAAAAGGGGTTGGTCGATGGGGGAAGAAAAGGATTGTGGGAAGGAGAAGCACAGGGGAGAGGTCTGACCATGTGGTCCCCGCCATCTTGTGCTCTCTGGGGGCCATTTTGTAGGTCAGGGGAAGAACAGGGGAACACAGGGAAGCAAGGAGAACAAGGGGACACCAGGGGACAAGGATTCTGGGACATTAACTGGGGGTTTTAACTTTATTAAACTGGGGATTAACAACCTGGGAAGCATTAAACTTGGGATTGACAACTGGGGAAGTGGGGGAATGGGAAGGGGCTCTGGCAGCTTGGCCACGGCTGCCAGGGCTGAGGTTCTGAGGGAGACGTGGGGAGCCAGGGAGACTAGAGCCATTACTGGAGCCCTGCGTTACACGGGATGCCCCGCAGGTTTCCCCCAACTTAGGGATAGAGGTAGAGGAACATGGGGGTGGGGAAACTGGGGAAAACTGCCCTGGCTGTCCTTGCACTCCCCCTTTTTCAATTAATGAAGACATAATCAGAACAAAAAGTGGTATTAATTTAGAAGCGGTTTTGTCCCCTTGATTAACTAAAATTGTCAATTTACCTCCAACCATATTCCAAAATTTGACAGAACAAATGTTTTCCGGGGACACTTGGGGGTAGTGTAAGAACAGCCATCTCACAAACCTCTTAACCAAGCCCTTAGAAAACTTCTTCCCTCCCCCTCAAGGATTCCCACAGCTTGGAAGTAAATCCCCCTTTGCTGAGCCGACAACCTCGCGCCCATTTTTAAACCCTTAACAAATTGGCTCAGCAATCCTACCACCCCTTGGCAGCAAACGAGAACTTAAAGGAACAAAAGATAAGGGTCCGGAACCTGAAACAAGGCCCTCCCCCCACTTTTCTCCCCCCCGCTGGGGAACTCACCACACCAGGTCCAGACGAGGTGCTACAAGGTGCTACAAGGGATGTCCACCACACCTCTGCGCGAAGAGGGTTGCCGCCTCGATCCCTGGGAGCACCACCAGACAAAAATTGGTCTGCTCCCACTGGGGTAGTTGCCGCCCAAAAGTCCAAATGACGGTTGCCCGTCCGATTCCTCCATGAGGTCTCCAGGCAGAAGAGGCCCCATGTTGGGCGCCAACTGATGCTGCTCCTCAGGCGCACTGGAGGTTTGGGCTAGCTCTGCAATGCCACTCCAGCACGGACAGTGGCCAGGAGTGAGGAACCGCAGGGGAAATGTGATCCCACTGCGGAACCTACAGAGCTCCAACCCCTGCTGGGCTCTGCTAACTCAGGCGTCGTGGGTTGTGACAAAAGGATGGAGGAGGCTCAGTCTGCTGCACTTCCCAGGAACAAGTTTATTACGGCGAAGGGAACGGAGGCAAGGGCTCGGGCTGGGACGACGGAGCAGGGGAAAGAGCCCCGAGCACCTCTGTGCATCGGGTTTTATTCAGGGGTGGCCACAATTCAGGGTCCAATCAGGGATCGCAGAGGGAGGAGTAAGGGGAGGAGATTACAATATTGGAGACCAATGGGGATACAACGAGGGTGGGGTAACAACATAGTAACCAATAACTTGTCGAAAAAGGGATGAAATACACAGAAGGAGCTGGAAGGAAAGGTGGGGTTTACAATGATGGATAGGGGAGATGGGGCAGGGTTAAGACAACTGACAGGGAACTTTCAGGAAAAAGGGGAGGGGTTAACAATATTGACAGCTGGGGCTAAACCATTTCATAATAACAGGGGAGCAACAAGAACGTAACAACTAATACTTAACAAAATTAAATAAATGAACTGCAACATACATGGCCTAATATTCTTTTGAAACTATTATTTCTCGTTTTAGCTATAATTAGATATAGCCATTCTTTTTGTATGGAAAATAAGTTAAGGATGTATTCTTCTTTCTTGGACATATTCCTGTCCAACAGTTCCCACAGCAGGGAGCTTTATTAGGAACATATGAAAATAATTGAGAAACAAAATGTCTAATGTAGAATGTATTTACAGGTTTCCTGAGACAGACTGTAGCTGAAGGTTTTGTTGCTAATGAGAAATTAGTTGGGTATGCAACACAGTGCTGCCAAAGAAAGCATCCATCTAGACCCTGTAGCGTGCATCTGAAGACTAACATTTCCTGAATATATAAATATTTGGACTGAGTTGCACTTTGACACATTCTTTTCTGGGATCCTTCAGATTTCAGTCCAGCAAATGCTGGTTATTTTTCTTCTCCACAACCTGTGGGGTAAGGGAAGAAACCACTAGCCAACCCACAAGAGAAGCAGTAAAAATCAGTAACACCCTCCAACTTCCTTCCTTTTCTACAGCCAGGGGTCCTTAATACTTGCAGATGAGCATCCTTACAGAACACCTTTTGCTTGATTTAACACCTCATTAGAGTTGTAATGATTAATAATTAGAATTGGATAAAAATAGGACAACAATTGTGATACTTCTTTGTGTGTATTTTATCCTTTGGCTATCCATTGTGCCTACTGTGCCTACTGGAAGACATAATTTTGTGTGGAAATGTTTGTGCACAGTCCTTGTTTTGAAATTAGAAAAATTTCAAAAATGGAGGACGCCTGCATTCCTGACTAGCTCATCTATAGTGTCATCCGTAGGTGGTCAGGTGACGCTATCTTCCCAAAAGTGCCTCCAGAGGAGACAGTGTCTGGGCAGGCTGCAATCTCACCCACCCTCACACTTCAACACACCACAGATAGCAGTCATCGACAGAGAGGCAGGAAGGGCCTCTGTGTGGAGTTCCAGTGGGATTTACCCCAACCACACTCCCCAAGTGCCCAGGAACAAAGACAGGGAGTAACAGATGGTCCAGGAATATAAGTGGGCTTGAGGGGGAGGATCCGAGGGTCAGGGTCAAATAGAAACAGGGGAAAGTGGTGCAGAGGCGGGGGCAGGGAGAGCCAATGGGATTACGGGGGTGGAGGACTGCACCAAACTGGGGCCAACCGTGGAACAGGGAAGGGAGAACTTTCTATGGAAGGGACATACAAGGTTAAGAGGGGAGGGACAGCCAACAGGCTAACTGGGTATATGAACTACAGTACAGAAAAATTGAGGTGCAAAGCACTATGGGAAAAGCCCTTCTTATTAACTTTAAAATGGGGGAAAACCTTATTGCCTGGAGACCTCCTTCCACACCACGATAGCTTTTGGCTCTGGAGCCTCCACACTCATCTGTGGGTAAGCTGATGGCATAGCCATTAAATGGCTTGCTGTGAAGAGTCACAGTTTTTAGGGAAAGTTCCTCAGATATCTTATTTAGAGCAGTAGTGTTTATCCCACACAATAATTCTGCAATATGCAGAAGAATATACGGTGCCCAGCATTTATGGGCTGGACAAAAAGAGGTTTTCCTCCTTTCTTCAGGACTTGAATGTGAAGGAACGAGTCTCCCAAGAAAAGAATGTCACTCTAGCAAAATGTAAAGCCAAAAGCAAAGCAGAGAAACATAAAGTAAAAGACATTACTTTATATTTCAGCATCAATTTACATGTCTCATCACACTGATTAATTTTGTCTTAGTCACCTCACAGAGGTTGGTGGTTGCTTCTGGCTGAAATGACAACCCCAACATGCATGTTTGTAGGCTTGCCTGCTTTTCTGCTTTCTGACTGGAAAGTGGAAATGCAGATAATCTACTCCACAGGGAAGAAGTCCTTGTAGCATGCAGATGCCCTTGTTGCAGCAAGTGCCATCTAGGATGGGGCTAAGGAAAATTAATTTAATTATCCACAGGTGTGTAGAATTCACTAAAGAGGGGGTTTTAATTCAAGATGATGTTCCCATTCTGCAGGAATTTAGTCAAAACTGAAATCTTGCTAATGACCTGAGGAAAAAATTAATCCTTCAAAAAGCTAAAACTGCTGATTTTGAAAGAATTAAATGGAATAAGTATTAAATCAAGTATTAAAACAGTCAGGACATTGAATTCTCTTTGTTATTCCTGTATTTAGAGATGATGCTCTGTGGTTACTGAGACACAAAGACTTTCCATTGTGTTCTTTCCCTGTGTCTAGATTGTTATTGCATCACAGACAAA